AAAAAAAAAAAAAAAAAAAAAAAAAAAAAAACCATTTAGACTATTACTAGACTATTTATATATAATTAACATACTATTGATATACTTTTTGTTATAAACTTTAAAATTATATTTAGTATTCAGAGATTTGTATGATTATAAAATGTTGTCATATACAAGATAACTTTAATGTTACTAATTATGGTAATTGTTAGGATGCCGTAAAAATTAAAGAAATTTTATAATTTTGAGCCAATTAAAATAAATGAGATATGATAAATAATAAATAATCCATTGTTTTCTTTTCCATGTGTAAATTTTTTGTACTTCAGAAGTTCATTATAGAACTTTAATTTTTGATCATTTCATAAAATATAAATTAAAAGTTCCTTATTTTGATAATGACGACCAATTATTTACAAAGATCAACTAACCAAAACTCGTGCGTAATAAATTGAATAATTTTTACGCATGGCGTGAGATATTAAATTAAATTAAAACTTTGAAATGTTTTTGTCAAATTATGAAATTTGTGATAAACCCCAAAGAGAGGCAACAAAATAAATTATGTTTTGATTATTTAAAATCACGTGAATTATAAAGCCGGTGAACTTTTTAATACCATAAATTTATTTGAATTTAAGTTAACTCGTGGAAAAAACGTGCTATTACGGAAAATTTCCACGCGAGATATAAAAAAAAAAATAAGTTGCATTATTTATATTTTGTACTCTCTTGTGGAGTATTTTATTATTATTATAAAAAAAAAAAAAAAAAAAAAATTCTTTGTTATTTTTAAAATAGATAGATGATCTTTAATAATAATAATTATTTTGTCCTGTGAATATTTTTTTTTTGTAACAGGATTTGACACGATATTGAATGATGTTTCGAGAAATCTTTATTTATGTGGTCAAAGATATTCCTAACTCATATTAATTATATTTTTGGAACACAAGTTAAATAAAATGTACTAACTTACTTAATAGTAATCAACTTGTTAACGTTCCAAGAAAAACGCCATTTCACGCGTTTAATATTCCAAATGAAGATCATTTAAGATTATTCCACCAAATTTTTTATTACAGGTTAAAATACCAGCTTATTTGAACCGCAAGATATTCTCCTGATTTCTCCTTGTTTATCCCATTCAAAAGGTTTCCTTTTATAATTATATAATAAAATATTTGTTAATTAAAAAAAACTTATTTTCAGACTACAAATCACCGAATTTGTTTATAATCATTTCATATCTTGTTTTATTATTACTAATTTTAATGTTTATTATCCGAAATTTTCCACTTGTTCAATTCCCTTTTTTGTATTATTTGGTCTGACTTTTCTATAAATACATTCTTCCACGTGATTATCAAGGAAACAGATTACGAATCTTAAATTTTTTTTTATCAATTCAAAAAAATTTTTTTATTAAATTACAATAAGAAGATGATTTCCTTTAAAATTAATCATTTTTTTTAAAAATAAATAATAAAACTGATTTAAATTTAAAATCAGTNAAAAAAAAAAAAAAAAAAAAAAGATTAAAAATATTTAAAATCAAAAATATGTTGTATATATTATATATTGTTGTTATGTATTATATAAAATATATTTTATTAATATTTTGACAACAAAACAATTTCAATTTCATGTTGTTTGTTATATATAATTATATAATTATAAATAGTTTTAATCGTCCAATCACATAGATTAAATTTGCCTTAATGTAATTGGTGAGTTTACACGTGACTTGTATATGTGATGATTCAAAAAAAAAAAGAATCCTCTCAATATTCACAAATTCTTTACGAATTAGCATTCGGTTTATACTTCCGTTTAATTACTTCAGTCTGTTATTCATTATATATAAATATGTCTGACGATGATTTTATGCTTGAAGACGACGATGAGGACTATAATTTCGATTATGAAGACGACGAACAAGAAGAACCTGACGTCGATTTAGAGAATAAATATTATAACGCAAAAGGTATTTATTAAAGGTGTTTATATTAGTTTAAATATTCTCATTTTAAATGTAAAAGTTTGTTATATAACGTTAAAAATCGTTAAAATAGTTTCTTTATTAGAAAGTGTACTTTACATTTTGTTTAAATTTTGTTAAATGTTAAAATAATTTTTATTCGTTTTCAATTTCATTCATTAGCACGGAAGGAGGATGATCCTAATGTTGCCATTAAAGAATTTCAGAGTGTGGTGGATACTGAACAAGAGAAAGGTGATTGGTGAGTATTTGGATCTAAAATCATCATCAAATTTTATGTTTGAATTTTTAATTTTTTTTTAAAATGTTAAAATATTATTTAATATACAACTTATTTAATATACAAAGGGGTTTTAAGGCTTTAAAACAAATGGCAAAATTATCTTTTAAAGCGGGAAATTATGAAGCGGTAGATATATATTATGTGAATTTGATTCATTTGATTATAATAGTTCGGTTATTAATTTATATAATTTGTGTTTAGACACTTAAATATTATAAACAGCTTCTTTCTTATACAAAGTCTGCTGTGACACGAAATTATAGTGAAAAAAGTATAAATAATATATTGGATTTTATCTCATCTTCTCAAGATATGGCCTTCATGGAGGAATTTTATTCAACAACTTTAAATGCATTAGAAGAGGCTAAAAATGAGGTCAGGGAGTGATGTTAAGTTTTATTCCAATTATTGATTGTCTTTTTAACATACTTTTCCTTTTTACAGAGATTATGGGTTAAAACCAATTTGAAATTAGCAAAACTTTGGCTTGATCGAAAAGAATATACTCGTCTAAATAAGGTATACTTATTACTTATTTGCTTAATTAAATATTTCTTAACTGATTTTAATTATATTATAATTAGATTCTGCGTCAGCTTCATACTTCTTGTCAAAAGGATGATGGAACTGATGATCAACGCAAGGGTACACACTTATTGGAAATTTTCGCTCTCGAAATTCAAATGTACACAGAAACCAAGAATAATAAAAAATTGAAGGTTTTGTTATACTTAATTTTATATTAAGTTAAGATACTTATACAATTGTCATTATTAAAGAATCTTATTTTTGTTAGGCATTATATCAACAATGTCTTCATGTCAAATCTGCTATTCCACATCCACGTATAATGGGAGTTATTCGCGAATGTGGGGGAAAAATGCACATGGGTGAAAGTGAGTAAATAATTTTTGTGAATAATCAAATCTTTAATATAATTTATTAAATTTTTAATTATCATTTCAGAGGAATGGGATAAAGCCCAAACGGATTTCTTTGAATCTTTTAGAAATTATGATGAAGCAGGAAGTCCTCAACGTATACAAGTTCTAAAGTAAGCAAGTTAAAGGATTAGGGAATTAATTGTCTTCTATAATATATTATTAATCTGACCTTATTTTAATTGTAGATACCTTGTTTTAGCTAACATGTTAACTGAATCGCAAATTAATCCTTTCGATTCCCAGGAAACTAAACCGTAAGTGATGGAAGTTACTTTTCATCTTAGTAGCACTTACTAAAGATAATCTGTGCTCAATTTTCCAGATACAAAAATGATCCACAAATTGTTGCTATGACAAATCTTGTCAGTGCATATCAGAGAAAAGAAATTCGCGAATTCGAAAAAATTCTAAGAGGTTGGTCACAGTGATATTTATATATTGAATGAATTTTAAGTTTTAAAAATAATTAAAAATTGGTAAAATTATTTTAAATTTGATTTTTCAAAGATAATCGCGCGACTATAATGGATGATCTTTTCATTCGTACATATATTGATGATGTTCTTAAAAATATTCGAACACAAGTACTGCTTCGACTCATTAAACCTTATACACGAATAGAGATTCCATTTGTATCAAAGGTAGGTACATTAAACTCGTTATATTCTAAATATACTCGTTAATATTAATCCGTAATTTTTCGTCAATTGTTTTTAGCAACTCAACATACCAGCACAAGATGTTGAAGATTTGTTAGTTGGTCTTGTTCTTGATAACAAAATTGTTGGACGAATTGATCAAGTGAATCAACGATTAGAATTATACAGACAGTACGTAAAAATTTTTACTTTAAAAAAAACTTAAATACGATAAAAATATTTTTTCTAATTGTTTATTATTCACTTTATTAGGTCATCCGATACTCAAAGATATAATGCTGTTGGTAAATGGTCAAATAATGTGTCTAATCTATACAAGACATGTATTAATAGAGTCACATAATAAAGGTGGATTTAATGATAATATATTAAGTGAATAAATTTAAGTGAATCTCAAACTTATGAATGTACCATATCGAAATATTTTAACGAATGAAAAATTTGAATCAAAATAAACAGAATAAAATCAATGTTCACTTATGCAACCATATATATTATATTTTATATAGCGAAAATAGTATTGAAAGAAATTCAGTCGGTCGAATTTATACTTTCCTATTCATCGCAAAATGTTTATAGCATTCCACTTGGAAAGTGTTTTAGATGTAATTTATCTATGGTTGCATGTATAATAATCATAATATTCCTTTTTCGCCTCAATTTCATGAAAAAAGCTAAAAATAATTTCATAAGTACATACTTTAGGAGGTCGCAAATTCACTATTATTGCTTTTTAATGCTTTCTTGAGAAATTGTCCATTATGCAAGTTGGTTTCCATTGCTGATATTAAACATCGAAATTTTCTTTTTTTTAGAATAGAATACATTATGTATAGTCAACTCAATGGTCTAAACTCTAAACTTTAAAAACTTTAAAAACATACAATACCCAAAAAAAACTCCGTGATTGAACTCATTATCTAAATAAAAAAAACGCGTATTAACGATCACGTGACTTAAATTTTGTTACGTCATTTAAACATAAATATGATATAAACAAACTTTTTTTTTACTTGGATAGTTTCTTAATTCTTATTTACGTTCGATTTTTTTAAACGAAAAAATAAAAAATGTCACAAAGAACTTTACCTCGTGATTTTGAGAATCGTAAATATCATAGTTTACTTCATAAAGAACGATATAACGATACAAATAAAGAAGATTCTTTTAAACACCAAGAAAGAGAAACGTTACGTGATGTGACACATAAATATTTGAATAATCCCACTACGATCAAGAAAAATAAATCTTTTCGAGTAACAACTTTTAAAAAAGATAAAGATTTATTAAAATTATCTAATACAACAAAAGATAAACGAATCGATCAATTAACTCTTGAAACAAATAAATTTTTTAATGATTTATCTAAAAAAAGAACGATTAAAAGATCCAACATTAATAAATTTGAGAATACCTATAATAATTCCAAAATTATAATTGAAAATTATTTTGAAAATAATTATGGAATAAATGGAATTAAAGGAATGATTGTTGAATTTTATGATCTTGAAACTATTAAAAATAAAAAATTACATATTCCGGAATGGCTTTTAAAAGATAATTCTGAAGAACTCTTTGAAGCAGAATTACCACCTCAAGATATTACGGTATATAATCTTTGGTTCTATAGACGTAAAAATGAAGGATCACCAGATTTTGTTCAAAAGTGGACCAAACCAATCTCTAAAACGGATATATTAACACATTTGGAAAAGATTTACAATAATGTTCGTGAATCTCATGAATCTGATATGAATAAAATTGGGTCAAAAATGATTCGATCTGTCTTGGATGAATTGAGAAAAATCAACAATTACATGCTGTATATAGGAAGCGAAACTCGATATCCCAACAATGTAATGGAAAAAACGCCTAAACTCGTTGAAAAACTTGAAAAGATTTTGGAAAGGATTCATTTTTATAAAAATTATTATGAAGAAAATAAGTGCTCACTTGCTAACGATAGGAGGGCAATTAAGTATGCTAAAGAATTATTAGATGTAGTTCGGATGAATTTTAATGTGAGAACTATAGATAACAGCAAGAATCGCGTGATTTTTTGGAAAATATGGATAAAAGTGAACAAAGAATTGGATATTATTGGAAAGCAATAAAGTATTTCAACAATAGATAAGAGTGAACAAAGAGTTGGAGATCATTGGAAAGCAATAAATATTTCAACAATAGATAAAAGTGAACAAAGAATTGGAGATCATTGGAAAGCAATAAATATTTCAATAATAGATAAAAGTGAACAAAGAATTGGAGATCATTGGAAATCAATAAATATTTCAATAATAGAAAAGATCATTGGAAAGTGGAGATCATTGGTAATAGCACGTAACTTTAATAGTTTTTAAAAATAAACAAATTTCAAATTTTTCTTATTTATGCTATTTCAAGAAAAAAAAGAAAGATAAAATAAATATAAATTTTTTATTTTTTTTTCTAACTATACAAAATAAATAAATATAAAAATACTGTACAATAAAAATCTTATCTTCCCGACAGATTTATTCTATTTATATCAACTTGTATTGTTATTCTTAATTTTGATAATTCAAGATTTAAATGATAACAAGCATCACAAAATTTATTGTTTTCATTACTTCTTTTTTTATCATTATTATATGTCCTCCACATTTGTTTTAAATCTTCAATAACAATATCAAATTCTTTATCAGCTTTAATATAAATACCATAATAATTATGAATTTCTTTTAATGGCATCTTAAAATCTTTTAAATGAAAATAAATGTTCTTTGCTTCTTCAGTTAAAGAGATGAAATTTTTACTTGATTTTAAAATAAAAGAATTGTTTTTTTTCTCTTTAATTTTCAATATTTGAATAAAATAATTAAGGTAAGCAATATAATTTAATAAATCATAATGAAGTTTATGATTCACATAGATATGATTTTCGACTAATTTATTATCATATAGTTGTCGAATTTTATTTTCTTTATGAATTATTTGAGAATGTCGAAAAAGGGATTGACAATTCATTTGTAAATATTAAAGAATGAATTTTTAAATAATCTAAATATTCAACCGACACGAAGTTAATCAAAATGTTTTATACGATCGTAATTAAGAGTTGAATACTACTATGCCAACCTGGGCAATGAAAATAAGTATATATATATATATATATGGGGTTTTTTTATATTTTAAAAAGAAAAAAAAATGTGGATGATTTTTTTATTTTAAAAAAAAAAACGTATACTTATGTTCTTTTTATAAGGATTTTTTTTTATTAGATTTAAGATTCACACAAAATGCCTAATTAAAGTTAATGCAATTCTTATTCTATGTTCCCTTAAAAATCAAAAAAAACCAACAAAATGAATTGTTTACAAAAAGAATTTTAATTTCCTTTATCAATATCCAATAAAAATCGTGTTTATTTTTATGTGTAAAATCGATCTATTTGTTATACATTTTGAAACACTTTAAATTCAAAATTATTCGTCATCATATAAGAAGATTTTCAAGACTTTGTTCAAAAATGATTTAGATTTTTTAATTTTGTGTTACCGTACATTCATTACTGCATTATTGTTATATACTTGTCGATCCCTTCTTGGCTCCAGCTTAGCCAGCTTTAGGTTTTTATTCGCAATGAACATGTGGACAAAGAAACAACAATAATTAATAATCAACATCAATTATATCATACTTAATCTCGTACAGAAAAGCTCTTGGCTCACCAGCCTGGGTTACTGCATATCGACAAAGAAACGGCAATAAATATTACATTCCATTTTTTCTTGGCTCCCCGCTTGTCCGGCTCTAGGTTATAATTCAGACAAAGAAATAAATAATAGTTATATCAAACTTATTCTCTATGTACCCAAACAAGTATGATACGGTATCCACACCCGCGGGCTTATTGTTTGAATTTTGAGATGAAACCGGGAAAGACTTCTTGAAAGAAGGATTAGATGATCCTCTTTTTCTTACAATACATTTTTAGAATAATATGTGTTATTTTTAGAAAGAATTCTTACTTTATGTAGATTAGTTGATTGAGTTACGTTTTTCATTGGCTTTCATGATTTCATCTATTATTTACCAAAAAGGATTGTTTTAAAGGAAAACTCGTCCATTATTAATCGGGCCGGATTTCTATAAAAATTATATACATTGATAACTTGTGCAACATTCGATTATCAAACGAAGGGACAAATTATATAAGAGATGCAAAAACAATAATAGATTCCCATTTTATAAACCTTTCGTAATGATTAAATCAAGGATTAATATCATAACGTCCTAACCTCAAATAAAATGATAAAATATTTGACATCAAAAACAATTGCTAATTTAAAAATATACAATTCATTATTGCAAATCATCTTATTTACCCAGACTACCCATGAGCTCTACTTATTCTAACCATATCCTAACCCTAATTCTAACTCTAACTTTAACCCTTGTCAATCATCGACGAAACATTAATCTGCGAAATGACCCTGTCGGTGAAACATTTATCGACGAGACAATGGTCGGAGAAATTATTGCCGGAGAGATCTATAATAGAATAATATATATAGATATATATATATTAATATTATTAATAAATGGGATCCAAACAAAATCCCGAATGTCAAAATCCCGTGGTACGAAATCCCGAAAAATTGGCCAGCATTAAGCGTAATGCTGCCCGGTTCGGGGGATTTTGACATTCGGGATTTTGTACCCAGACCCTTTTATTATATGTTAACTTTTTATTATAATTATAAACTATACTTGTAAGAGGTAGTTGATATTAAAACAGTTTTAATAAAGATTAATGCATTTTAAAGTTTAAAGAATTGATTTAAATTTAAACTGAAAATAAGTTTTTTTTACTTTTTATTAACTTTTCTTATAATTTCATAAAAGTAGTTTTTAAAAGTTTTCTTATTATTATTTAATTTATATATTTTAATTAAATAAAAGGAGAATTGCTTATTTTTACAAATTTTTAATATAATAAAAATAAAAAAAATATTATTATTACTTATTTTATTTGATAAATTTATTTGATAGTTTAGAAGTAAATAAATTATTTAATATTTATTAAAATTTATAATTTAATTGTAAAATCTTATATTCTTAATAATAAAAAAAATGGGTTTTATAGTCCACTAGATACAGATAATAAGGTATTGACAATATATACATGAAGTTTTTTGGTAAATAATGAGTGATTTATGGATTGAGTAATATATAGATAATTATATTTTGTATATTTTTTAATATGTTATTACTTTAATAAATCTATAAATGTACTGCAATTATTAAAAATAAAGAAAAATATAATTAAAATAATTGCCAATTATTAATTTATATCCATTTTATTAATTTAAAAAGATTAGTAAATTTTATTTTATTATATTTGGTAAAGTTAAAAAAATTAAAAAAATAAATTTTCTTTAAGTTTAAAATTTTTTTTATTAACAAATAATTAAAGTTATTTAATTTTTTTATTTGGAAATTGTATTAATTATTTTATAAATTATTTATTTTAAATTTTAAAGAATTTTAAAAATTAATAAATTAAATTTTTCATAACTTATAAAATATTTTAAAATAAATCTATTATGATCATTAATATTAATTTTATTTTAATTTATTTAACTATCAGATTCTGTGAATAACTTTGCAAAAAAATAGAACTATTAGTTAAAAAATGATTTGTTTTATATAGTTTACTTATTAAGTAAAATTGTTATGTATATATAAGGTATTTTGGTAATATAACAAATAGTTTATGAGTTAATAATATTAGAATAGTTTTATATTTAATTACTTTATATATTTATTATACTATTATTATTTTAATAAATTTATAAATTTACTGTAGAAAAAAAAAAATTTTTATTTAATTACAAATACTATTTGATAAATTTCATTCATTTATCTAACTAGTAAATATGTATATTAAAATTAAATTATTAATAATAAAATGTAGTATTATAAATATAAAGTTATTAAAATTAAAAAAATTAATTATATAATCAAATTTTTATCAAATTTTTATAAATATTGCCTCTTATTATATAATCTTTATTGAAAATATTGCTATAGCAATATATTACCAATATTATATAATATATAAATCATATAATTTTAAATCATTTTAAATTTTTTGCTATTTGTATAATAATTTATTTTTTACTAATTTTAACAAAAAATATATTTGTAAAATTTTTAAAATAAAGATATACTAAAAATCAAAAAATATAATATATTAAAATTTAAGAAAACAATATTACATGTATATGTTGTGCCTCAGATTGATTCTTGCCTCAGCTGACAGCTGACGCACCTCAGATCAAAATCGCCACCTGACGCGCCTCACTTTACAATAAAAAATTGATTATAATTAAGCATTAAATTTTCTAATCTAATGTACATTTGATTATTAATAAAACTTATTTGCTGTATTTTCAAATATTCAATCCTAAAATTTTAGATCAATTGGATTCATATTTGCTTTTGAAATCTTCATTTAAAAATGTGTTTATAATGCAAATTTTCCAAATAATATTTGCATTGTATATTTAATAGGAATTAAAATTGTATAAAAATTTCAGAATATGTATACATTATTGTGACAAATATATTTACTTATAACATGAAGGCAATTTAACTAATAGAAAAAAGGTTATTTATAGTAGATTAAATTTATACGATTCAAATGAGGCGCGTCAAGTGACGATTTTAATCTGAGGTGCGTCAGCTGTCAGCTGAGGCAAGAATCGATCTGAGGCACAACATATACAAACATAATATTAAAGATAAAATTTACTGATATAATTAAATACAATATATATAAAAGACCAAAAAGTGTAATACATCTATCTAAAGATCAAGAATGTAAGATCAAGAATATAATATATTCCAAAAATCAAAAAATAAAATATATTTAAAAATCAAATATAAGAATAAAAATAGCCAAAAATAAAAGAAAAAAGGCAATACATATTAATTTTTATATGCTTTTGTTAATGTTTAAATAATTTTTCTTAAAAATTTTTTCTCTGTATATCATATAAGAAATACTATTTTGACATCAATCATGGCAAATATTAATATAGAAACTCGTTTCTTCACTGATACATACAAAGACTGAATATTTGGTTTAATACAACTATATGATTATACCCCTAAATGAATGCCCGATATAAACTTTTAAACGTAGAATCATTTTAAAAACAAATGATTTCATATAATAATAGTATTAATAGACGTTATTTTTCATTATAATTATACTGATACAAATGATACAAATTTTGGTGACTTCAAAATTACATTGTAATAGGCATGCACTTTTTTTTTAACATATACAACATATACGATAAATGACCTGACAAAAAGTAAGTTTTTATTTTTTTATTATTTTTAAATATTATCTATGATTTCTATATAATTATTTTCTACTTTCAACACTTACTTTTTTGTCATAAAAAGCAATATGCTAATTATCATCCAGCTTTTAATTCTTTTGCTTTTTTGATGACGTGTCATTTGGGTTTTTTTTTCGTAAAAGTTTACGTTTTCTCTCAGCTCGGTCATTAAGTGATGGCACATTTACAGAATTTTTAGTTATATCACCCAAAGGTCTCCTAATTTCGACTTGTTTACCTTTTTCTTCTTGCAATAATTTTAATGACCTTGAGCTATTCAAGTTCAAAGTGGTAGTTTTAATCGAAGTCGAAAAAGTAGGATCACTTGTAGGAGAGTTTGATATTAGTTCCAATGGTGCATTTTTCTTAGAATCATTTTGTGCCAATGGTGCATTTTTCTCGATCTTAGAATCATTTTGTTCCAATGGTGCATTTTTCTTGATCTTAGAATTATTTGATGCTTGTTCCAATGGTAACTTTTTCTCGGTCTTAGAATGATTTGATGCTTGTTCCAATGGTAACTTTTTCTCGATCTTAGAATGAGCCTTGGAAAGTGATAAAATTTTTTTCTTTTCTTTTTTTTGTGTGATAATGCGTTCCTCAGTTTTATTTGAATTTTTTGAGATTGAACCAAGTTCAGCTTCTTGTGAAGCTATTTTGTTCTGTGGAGATTGTGTTGTAGTTTCTTGTTGAATGTCCTGAAATGAATAGTATGATAAAAATAAGAATATGATAATCAAAGTATGATTTTGTATATGAGACATAAATTTTAAGGTTTACCGGCAACAAAGAGCAAACCGATGCGTTACTCGCAGAGTTAGATGATGACGATGATGCTTGTTCAGGTTCTTGAACGAGGTTCTTATGTATATAACGTAAATTATTTAGTTTAATTTAAAAGTAATAAAAAAAGATTATATTAAGTACCTCAGGATTTAATGCTTTTTTATCTTCCATAGCATGTTTTAATGTGGCTTGTCTCGCTTTTTGTAAGAATAATGATTTATTTTCCTTAAATTCACTTGCCTATCAATTTAATAATTGAATATAAGGTAATGATTGATTATGAGAAAATGAAGCAACGATAATGGATATTTGTTCAATTATACAATTTCAACTAAAAGAGGATCATCCGGATTCGGATCTGCCATTAAAACACTCAAGGATGTCAAGGTAGTCGAAATATTAAGGGAAGGTTTCCATGATCCCTATAAAAAATTAAGATGTATAATTCTTTTTTTTTTTTTGCTTAAGCATAATATATAACAATGTTACCATTGGTGGCATTTTAAGCAGATCAAGACATATTCTTCCAGCATCGTCCACATTTGGATGATAAATTGGAGTAATAAATTGCATTTTTGGGGGTTCCATAGGATAACTATATCATTTAAGTTATTTAATAGGAAAATCCAAAGATTATTTTTTTTAAAAAAAATATAAACTTGCCGTGATGGAATTTGAACATCTACTTTAAATAGACCATCTTCATATGGTGTATCTTTTGGTCCTTTGATTACTATTATATTAAAGGATAATTATTTTTTGTTGGATACTAAATTCTAGGGTTAAAAATACCAAACGAAACTTACGTGCACAAAATTTTAACAAACTGTCGTCAACAGGATAACAAATAACTCCCGGCGGAGGATCGCGCTCCAGTATTTCTTCAATGAAAAAAATTATATGAGCGGGAAGAGTGGAAAGAAAATAATAAACACGCAAATTCAACGTACAAATACGCGAAGTTTTACGCGTTTCAAAATAAAATTTGTAACTTACCAAGTTCACGTTTCATACGAGGAAGCAGCTGACTCGAACTCGAAGACATTATACAGTATTTCAACTAATTTGACGCGAAAAGAGAGGAGACGGGAAAAGAAACTCGCTATTGAAGTTAGTGAGAAGAGACAGGTTGAACCGAGTTATTAAAGGTAACCGCGGCGATCATGTGATCAAATATAAATTCAGCTGACTAGACTGATCGCTATTAGGTACCGTTTACCGTATATAAATCTTTTTTTTTACAATTTAAATGTAGAAATATTTTAATATGGCAACACGTGCTGATAAACGTTCTTCTTCTACCATTCGTCCAATTTTAATTACTCCATGCCTTCTTAGTAGAGATGGTTCCGCTAGTTTTAGTTTCGGTATTTATATTATTACTAAAATTAAGTCTTTCGTGACAGGTTACATTTTCTAAAGCTTAATTGTTAATTCTTCTAGGCAAAAGTAGAGTACTTTGTACCGTTAACGGCCCTGCCGAAGTTAAATTACGAGACGAAAAATTGGATAAGGCCACCATTGATGTAGTAGTTAGACCTCTAGTTGGTGCTCCAGGTAAAATATATTGAAAAAAATTGTTTTTTTTTTTTTTGATTTAAATTTAATTAATTTAATTGAATCATTAGGAACAAAGGATAAAACTCATGAATATATTTTACGTTCAACATTTGAGAGTATCGTTCAATCAGGTCTACATCCAAGAACACAAATTCAAATTGTTTCACAAGTGATGGTGGATGATGGAAGTGTATCCTTTACTACAAATAACTTTTTATAATTTTTTTTAAAAAATATTTATATTATTTTTAATTCTTAATTTATTTATTTTGATTCTAGATAATTGCAGCTGCAATAAATGCAACTACAATGGCTTTAATAGATGCAGGAATCCCGATGAAAGATATTGTTGCAGCAGTTTCTTGTGTTATAAATAAAGATGATCAAATATTATTAGATCCAACACTACAAGAAATGGAAAATATTAAATCTGTTCATACTTTTGCATTTAATAAAACAACTTCATCTCTTTTATTTTGTGAATCTTTGGGATTATTTACCGATGATCAAGTAAGTTATGTTCCTAATAAAATTATATGTATTATAAAAAAATTAATAATATTTTCTTCTTTATATGACTAGTATTTTAATTGTTATGAGTTATGTAATGCGGCAGCCGGTGTTATATTTGATAAGATGCGTGAATTTATAACAAATAAATTAAAAGAAGAGTATCAAATTGAATCATGAAAATTTAAATATTTTATTAAACACTATGTTAAATATTATATTTTGTATATATATCGTAATATTAAACTCTGATTAATAACGTGAAATTAGAATGATGTATATCACAAGAAATTTGTTTAGAAAGATTTTTATAAAATTTTTTTTAAATTGTAAGCATTTTTACACAGTGAAATGAACCTCGATATAATGGAATATAAGCAAAATCTTGATATAACGGAATTTTGATTTGGAACGCATTATTATAATCTATAATAAACTAATTAATTTGTAGGTGGTTAGATTCTTATGTTGATACCACCTTATTCTTAATGAAATTTATTTATTATCCATTGATATTTGGTGAGAATCCACTCTCGAATATACCGGAACTCTTGATATAATGGAATTTTTTAAAATTTTTACTAATGGAACGGATGGTTCCGTTATATCAAATTTCACCGTGTATATGAGCATTATTATTTAATATCTAGTCTAATGATTACACATTAAGATATAGATATAAGGAACGCGTTACGAGCGCGTTATAATTTTATGCCTTCAAAAAAATTGTCAACAAAAATGCGAACGCGTTATAATTTTATGAATGTTATGACTTCCAAAAAATTTAAATAAACAATTGTATATTGGCTAATTAAGTAATTATTTATAAAATGAATTTGCGTTTTTTTATATGCTTGAGAACAAAACGAAATTTTAGAAATGATAAATCACTGGTATTTGTCACGCACTCTCAGTCTCTCACCCTCGGATGCATCCGATGTAGCACACAAAAAAAAAAGCTGATTGTATATAAGCTGATTGTATAAGCGATTCTCGATTCTAACTATCAAAGATGAGTTCTTTCAAAAAAAGAGTTCAGACAAGTCAAACTAAACTACCTCAAGGAACACGATTATCACCATACAATGGACAATTATTAATTTCTACTGGAGTACCATCACTTGATGATATCCTTTGGTTTTTTTTTTAAAAAAAAAAAAAAATATTGATTTAATTTTTGTTCCTTGACCTTTTTTAAACATATTCTTGGTGGAGGTATTCCAATTGGAAGTGTATTATTAATAAAAGAAGATAGACATACGGAATATGCTAAACTACTCTTAAAATATTTTCTGGTACAAGGAATTGTATCAGAGAATCATGTTTTATTTAGTACATTAGAGGAAGAAGATTCAAAAAATTTTATGATGGGATTACCTTGGTTAGTGAATGAAAATGATGATAATAATGATGATGATGAAAATATTACACCTGAATCAGAAGAGAAGATGATAATAGCATGGCGTTATAAAGGATTAAAAAAATTCGAATCAAGCGTAAAAAATAAGTCCAATATTCAAAATAAAATTTTAAATGATACTATTGGAACAAAATCTCAACAAAATATTGAAAAACCATTTTGTTCAACTTTTGATTTAACAAAATCTATACCTCAAAATATTATTTTGGAAAATAAGTTAATGACATTGATTAATTTAAGTGAAAAAAATGATGAAATAATAGAAAATTTTAATCCTTATAATACTCTCTTGAATACTATACGTAAAGTTATTGAAGAAAATCATTTTAGTTCTTTATCAAAACCATCATTAAATGTTGAAAGAAATGTTCTTAGAATTGGAATACATTCAATTGCTTCACCATCATGGCAATCAAAATCATCACATGTAAGTTAAATTATCCTAAGGTTATTTTTGATTAAATTAATAATTAAGTTGATTTTGATTTAATTTTTAGGACCTTTTTGTTTTCTTGCATACATTACGTGGTTTACTAAGATTTTCATTTGGTGCTGCTGTTATTACAATTCCGGCTTATTTATATACATCATCATCGTCAGAAACATCATCATTTGTAAGAAGAATTGAACATATGTGTGATGCTGTTGTAGAAGTTGAATCATTTGCAGGTATTTATTATTTTATTTTAATATTATTCGTGCCTATAGTTAATCTGAATTTTTTTTTTACAGGATCTCCAGCAAATACCAATGCAATTTATAGTGCAACATATCATGGATTATTTCATGTTCATAAATTACCGACACTTAATTCACTTGTACCATCATCCGCAAAATTATCAGTATTATCAGGTGGAGGTGGTAATAATTTAGGATTTAAATTACGTCGTAAAAAATTTACTATTGAAACTTTCCATTTACCACCCGAAGGTGGTATAAATGAACGACGTGTTTCTGAAAAGGATCAAACTAATAAATCTAAAAAGAAGGATGATAAAAATAAAAATAAATCAGGTATTGGCGTTTCTGGTAGTGGATGCGGTACTATACCAGGAAGAAAAGTCGATCCATATGATTTCTAATAAAAAGAGAGTTTAGATTTTTGTACTAATTATATTACTGCTTATTAATAAGATTTTTTTAAAATAAAATAAAGATGTAAGATGTATCATGTAAAAAATTACAAGAGTTAGTGCACCTTTTCAAGATATTATTTACAATTGTTCTTTCTTTAATAAGGGTATGCAGGATTACTTTGGGTTAAGGTTGGATCGAATTAAGAAGTTATTAATACTGCTTATTCTGAGAACAGAATTTTCTAATATCGTCGCTTATTTATATACAATATTTGTGCAGGTACGTAGAAAATAAGAAATTCAACTTTAATTATTTTAACAAAATTCATAAATATTTTTTATTATAAAATTAATGAAATCAATTTCACGGCAGAATTAACGGAATATATTTTTAAGATCCACTAATCTGTGTGATAAAAAACGAAATGTAAAGAAGCATGTTCGGGAGGGGAAATAAAAAAAATTTAAAATAAAAGAATTTCTTAACAGAGCTAAAATCACATTAAAAAACAAGTGAAATTTAAATACCTGCACGAATGGAAATGTTTAACTTTGAGAAAAAAAGGGTCCACGCTTTTTTTGATCTCCCAAAAATCCAAATGCAAATGCAAGTTACACATTACAACATTTACACGTCAACAAAGAAAAAATTATAATATATATAAATTATCAAAAAATTTTTTCTTTTTGTAATTCACATTATCATTTGAAAAAAAAATGTTTTCAATTTAAGAAAATTCACCAAATTATTTTTTGATTAATTTTCTTGTTTTTTGCCTAAATCAAAGTGAAAATGTCACTGTCTTATATATAAATTATATACTGTAAAACGGTCATTTCATCAAAGATCTTAAGCTTTAGCATATCTAATGGGAATATCTTGAAACAGTCAACTTTTAAGTTTTTTATCTATTTGACTTTTTCAAGTCAAAATCTAGGGAATAACTTTATAAAGTCCATATTTGATAAACGGCGTACAAATAAGCGTTAGAATAAAATAAATAATCATAATCTACCATGCTAAATATTTGTCATCCATCTCTCTTCTCAGATACCCATATACTTTTGATATGATAATCAAAAATCACATGACCAAATTTTCGGCGACGGGCCGTTCTTCAAAAAATCCACTTTTTTAAATATAGTACTGTACATGCATATAAAATTCACAGTATATGCACTGTATATGCGTAGGAGTATCAGCTTTTGTTGATACAGAAAATATCGAATCTACAAAAAAGAAAATGAGATTCATCCGACATACAGTACAGACTGTACGGTTATTATGTACTATTTTTCCGAATCATTTTATCCGAATCATTTTATCCGATCAATATAATATGTTTAATAACAATAATTGAGATAAAATTTTAAATATGCATGATCACTGTAATTTTTTTTTTCCGTTGGAGCGTGCATAAATTTTTTTAAATTTTTTTTTTTTTTTTTTTTTT